GTAAATGCTGAATATTTTAATAAATATTTATTTCGTTATTCATACAAAATACATTTCTCATATATAGCATGTATGACTTGACAAGTTTTCAGAGAGAATACTTCGTAGATGTTTACTATTGGAAATGAAATGAAAGTGTCATACCTTTTTTATTGTGTTTATTACTACAAAAGTATCAAATGTTCGTAACACTGTATTAATTATACAATTGTCGTTTCCTATAATTTCTAAAGTATGTATTTGTAAACATTATATAATATGGCATTTGATTTGAAGAGACGAATGCATGTAACATTAAAATGTAAAGTATGCAAGTAATAGAGTGTTCATGTATACATGCCTGTGTAATTTTTGTAATCAGGACGTACTGAAATACCTACTTACAACCTTTTCCACGATTACATAAGAATATAAGCTAACATTGCAAATCAAAAGGAAATTCCACGATGAATTTCATAAATGATCTTTCTTTGACATATTAATATATCCATATTTTTAAGTAAGTGAGTACGTATACGTTTTATACGCCCTAAGTGAAATATGTATATCAGTACTATTAAACATAAATTACTCATTACATAATTAACTTTTTTATAATAATTCAAACGTGACGTTTGTATTATCAGACTAGTCATGCTACACATCATATTAGCATCATATTAGAATGACATTTAATCATTCGCAATGAAAACATTTATTAATAGATATTAACCTTTCGTATAATAAACCTATTTAAATAAAGATAATATTACTTTCTACAATTGAAGTTTGATTAATATACTACGTATATGAAATATTTATTAACTGTTTGTTTTAAATATTAAAAATAATGCAGTGAACAGATTATTAACAGATATTCTCTAAAAATTGTATTTTAAATAATGAAACATTGAAACGATGAAAATTAATAGTAATTTAGTTACTATCCATGATCATACCATATAAATGAATGTATTAAATTCGTAAAAAATTTCCTTTTATTTTTACGATTATATTTGCTGTATTTAAATAACCATATATTTTTAATTTTTAATCATTTCCCGTTATTATTATTTCATTATATTCAGTATGGTCCATTAATTTTTTATTCATCTGCATTACACCTTATAAAAGTAATGTATGTGAAACATTCCTTTCCTCTTTTTTTTTATTTAATAAATGCAGAATGAATCATATTGAGTCAAAGTAAACAGTATAATTGGTTCTTCACGTGAACGCAATTAT